TTGGTAGACAAATACACTTGATAAAACTTTTATGGAAAACTTTAAGAAAAACTAATCGAAGAGAGAAGCTGGAACAGTTGTCGGAACAACAGCCACGATGGGACTGTCTGTAACTTAAACTAAAAATCTAAGGGTTGGGTCCATACACCCCCACTAGACCAAAAATTGCGCGCGCAATCTTGGCCCGGACTAAAGGGAAGAGGGGTAACTTAAAAGAGAAATCGGGAAGCGAAAGAGGGAGAAAGGGGAGCGTGTGACGTCAACAGTATTCCCTCTTGAGGGGTCTCAGGCCCTTCAGCTCCGCGATACAATGAACAAAGGAGAACTCAACACTCAACACGTGTGGAACACGTGAATCAGAGAGACTTTCTAAATATCTCAGAACCGAGACTTAACAATTTTACGACCGTAACCGTCGAGTTTATTTTCTCTCTATATTTCAGAATTTCAAGAAAAGTATTGTTTTGAGGAATTTTGGAGAGCTGTAAATTTACGAAGTAAACTCAAGTACTTGACATTTATTATTTCCGGCAACGGTTTTTCTCACGCCTGCGAAGTTGTTTTTCGTCCCCTGTTCATTGTCCTTTCATTCTCGACTTTTCTCAGTATTTAAAGATTTTACGTTATTTAATTAATTTTTTATATTAATTTCAATATCGCGGACAAAGATGGCTGATCATTGCTACCAACCACAAAATCAGCGTCAAGACATCACAACAGAGATAATAGGGGAGTTGCTCAGGCTTATGGGAACTGTTCGATCACAGTTGCATAGCGGTGGCGCGCATAAACTAATCGAGAGGCCGTCTCTGTGGGTAAAGAAATTTTCATCTATTACCATGGAAACAGTCGATAACAGGGATGCGTTCCCAATCTTAAATCCAACATGAAACCTCCTTTGCATTCACTCATCCGCTTGATTATCCCATTTTCGTTCATACAACTTCTTATTGTCTTAATTTGTAAATTAGTTGATCATAAAGGAGAGGGAGAGAAGGAATTATGAAGTCTTGAGCGAAAGAGGATCATTTATTTGAATTTCTATACAACTAGATCTTTAATAAAAAAAAAAATACGAGCAATTCATCTTATTCACATTTATTACATATTTTGTCAATGATACAAAGGTAATGAATGAATTTCAAATTATTTTGATGAGAAATATATTCAATATTTGTGAGAGATTATATCTCAACAAATCTCATACACATAATGGGATTAAATCAATAATAATAGATTAACGAATGAGACTTTTCGCAGATTATTGCGAGATTTAAATGAATGGTTTGCATTCTTCAGTGACCATAAAAAATTGTCTCCAATCGACAATATCTCCCGATGGAATGGAACGATGTGAATGAATCAATTGATACTTAAGTATCAATTTGAATCTTTAAAAAATTAATCGAGAGTGAAAAAAAATCAGGGAATTTAACTCTGCCATTATGGAGTTTTTGACGAGTGAAGTTTATTCACTGTACTCTGACATTTCTCTATTGTCTGTATTTACCGAGAAAAAAAAACGTTGTTCCTAGGAATCGATGTGTCTTTTTTAGGCAGCTGCATTTCTGAAATGCAATGAGCAAGCAATGTTAAAAT